TTCTTGATTAAATTCACATATTGATTGCATTATTTAGCGCTTGTTTGAGCCTCATTCTGGTTAAGAATGTATTTTGGAATAGTAGAGTGATAGATAATGTGTTGTTAAAAAATAAAAAAAAATTTGTGTTTGCATGTAATATTATTTTATTGAAGAATATAAGGTTCAAAAGAAGAAATAGAAAAATATATTTTAAAAATAATGGAGATTAAACAAATGCTTAATTGTTTGGCCATCAATTAAATAATTAGTTCTTGTTGTAGTTTTGAGAGACTCTCAATAAGTTTAAAACGCGGTAAAATTAACATATGTGCAATAGATATTAAGAATAACATTTATCACTAGTGCAATAATATAAATAATCTAAAATTTAATGCAATTTAATTCAAATTCAAGTTAGGAATAGTTGTGACTATGATAGATTTAATTTTTTTTGAAAAGAAAGTTAAATATATAAGTTTTATCGATTGTCAAAAACACATCAATATGATTAGATTACAAATCAAGAATTGAAATATATAACAATAGGTGGTATCTAAATACAATACAATCACCCATAATTTGATAAAAAGATCAAACTTTTATAGCTTTCTTAGATTAATTTAGTATAAATCAAATAAAAACTCTTTATGTTACATAATTCGATTTTAATACATATTGTCACAAAGAAGGAATGTAATCGATGTTAACTCTGCCCTGAAAGATTCCATAGAGAAATAATTTGCTTCTAACGTCGACCAGGACAACTATTGGTAGCGTTTTGATGCTCGTGATGGGCAATATTTTTCTAGATAAATATGAAGTCCACTAGTACTTCAAGTACCTGGACTGCCTCCCAAATCTACGTCTCAAAATCAAAATTGTCATACCTTAATTAAGTCAAACCTCAAAATCTAGTCAAAATGTTATTCTTTGCAAAAACAAATTAATTAATTAAAAAAATACGTAGAATATGGAAAACCAGAGTACGCGGTTGGGATTAAAAACAAATATTTTGTCCTTTCTGGTTCTTGATATACATGAGGAAAAAGGTAGGTGGGGTGGGGGGGGGGATTATAGGGTCAATTGACCCTCTAGATTTTGGGGAAAAATTTTGTATGGCTTTTATGTTTTTCGTTTTTTGTTTTTGTTTTTATTTTTTAGCTTTTTTTTATTAGAAGATACACTATCAATTTTATTTGTGACCCCCTAACCTAAGTCGTCTGGATCCGCCCTTGAGCGAGATAGAGAATCAAGCTACTGCCTTTAATTCAATACCAGTGAGGAGAAGAAGCAGCGGAAAAATTCAATAATTGGAGGGAGAATACTACGTTTTTCAAGAGTGTAGTCCTAATTTCTTCAGCCCCAATTGGTAAGAGGAACAATTAATTTTACTTCAATTTTATTTAATCAGTTGTACCATAAAGTAGGCCAAAAGAGATAGAAAAGTAGAATAGGAAAGGTGATAGGCAGTATGGGTGTGGGAATTGCTGGGAAGTGAAATCAAAATTGAAATTTAATAAAGGATTTTCAGATAAAGTGAAATTGCAAGATAACGAAAATGAAACAAATAGAAAGTGGATTTTATTCAATAATTCATTGGTATATATGTTGAAATACTTGGGCAGAAATGAATAAGTGGTAAAAGGGGCTGAAATCAATATGTATTCACAGCATTAAATATCACATCGAATGGAAAATTAATACATATGCAGATGGCTATGTGTGCAACAATGGGACCTGAATAATTCTATTATTATCACAGGAGACGGAATGGACATCATGATAGCTTAGCAACCTAAATAGTTCCCATTCAGTATATATTCAGATATTGACAATTGATTATTCTATTATGTTACGTCGGATTGGATTATGTGAATTTTAACTACGTGATTATTATAAAATATTCTCTCACTATGATATATGCGGAGTTATAAAGGAACAAATGTCGATTACTTGTAAATGAGAATTTGAAACATATGTTTTATTGATCACCACTGGAGTGTTGAGGCATTCGAGGCATACTTATATGATATTTGTTGGTCACAAGTGAGACTCCTTGGTGATCACAAAGGAAGAGAGGATATGTACCTTTGGTGATTGCTGGAGGATTGACCACATAACTTTACCTTTGTGATATTGTCATTATTGGCAACTTGGGTGGGATATTTCTTGGGAGATCACAGGGGCGGTTAGGGGATGCAAATCTAGTAGTCACAGGATGGTTCACTCGACTGTGTCTTGTTGATTATTAATTATTGATATTGATATTATGCAGGGATCGATCCGATGCATAGTAAGTGTGTCAAGGGCACAATGAAAATGAAAGTATTCGAATTTACCTTGATGATTTTATCAAAACTACAAGATGATATTTTTCAGTATTACGAGATGTTTCACATTATTATTATTATTATTATTATTATTATTATTATTATTATTATTATTATTATTATTATTATATGATGTTATTTTGTAAACTATTAAGTCATGTAAACTCGATTTTTGATAAATATGTATAAACAAGAAAGTATTAATTATTTTCAAAATTTTTCATTCACTGAATGATGAGTGCAATACACTCATCAATTTATTACCTTTAAATCTTAGTTTTTGGGTTGTCGTTGAGCACATTTGAATGTTTTGATGCGGATTTTCATGTTATTTTGCAACTTAAACAACTTATAAGAAAACGCCACGTTTTGGAGTTGTGATAGAGCCGTGATGAAGATCATAAAATTCGAGTATGAATTGTAGAGAATCGAAGGAAAAGAGCATGGCAACGAAGTGTGGAAAGTGAACAAAGCAAGAAGGTGTAGCTTCATGGACGTCGTGACGCCGAAATTGGCCACCCAAGAAAAGGAAAAAAATCAACAGAAAGTTGGACGCCACAACACCCAACACCTAAAAAATTTCAACAAGTCTGGCGCCGTGACGGTTTACTGCCAATTCTGGGTGCTACAACGCTCGACACAAAAAATAGAAAAGTGCATTTTTCTTGGCCTAGATCCAATCCTTCTCATCTTGTAACTTTTGGAAAAGATAAATACCACGAAAAAAGACCAAGAAAGGGGATTTCTCTAGCATTGCAAAAAGAACTCAAGGCAAAAACACGAGATCAAGCAATTCAAGGAAGAAGATCTACAATCATTGGATGAAGATTCAAAGCATCAACTGAGTTTTTCCTAATCTCTTCTTCTCCATGCTTGTTTATCTGTATTTTAGAATATCATTTGCATCAATCATGAACTAAAATCTTAGATCTAGGGTTGACGTAACCTAACTTGATATAATGTTTGAATGTTGATATGGTATTTCTTTAATTTTTCGGCATTTATTTCTGTTATTCATGCTTATTGCTTTCAATCACCTGATCAATGGTTGAATGAATTGATGTATTGAAATTCAGCACTCGAGAGAGGGAGATTTAATCTTGATCTACGAATAACATAACTTAGATTTCGTGGATTTCGAGAAAAAACACAAATTCTTTGAGGTTTAATTCAAATTAAGAACCAAGGGCTTAATAATTTTTATTGATTTAATCCGAAATAGAGATATTGGGATTAGAGTATAGAAATAAATTATAGTCGGCACTCGAGAGAGGGAATGGGATTAATTTTTGATTCTTGCCTATAAATTGAGAATAATTTAGAGAAATCACCACTGGGATTGAAAGACATTGTTGATAGGGAGGTGAAATCATTCCCTAGACGTCCTTGCATCGATTATTTTTGTATATTTTATCTTGAGTTGTTTTAATTTACAACATATTAATTTAGCATGAACACATCAAGCCAAAAATTGATTTTCTGAATAAAGTAGAAGTTAAAATAATTATTTATAGCATTCGATAGGAATCAAACAACAATCCCTATGGGTTGGACAATTCAATTCTATCACTATATTACAAAACTTGAAACCTTACACTTGCGGTTAAACTACGTTGCATAAAACGTGTGGCAAGTTTTTGGCACCATTTTCGGAGATTGTTTTGATTGATTTCTATTGATATTATTACCGAATAACTTTACTTTAATTTGGATTTTGTTGTTATTTTGTTAATTTTATTTCTACTTCTAACAATCCCCTTGTTTTCATTTTCAGTTGTTTGTGTGAAGGGCGAGAAATCCTGATCTATTGCCTATTGATCCTAAACCAGAATGTACATTTCTTCATCTAAGGGGTTTACATGGGTACAAACGTGGAATAATCACAGAGCAGGATGCAAGAGTAGCTCAAGAAAACAATCAACCACGGCCTATTCGGGACTACGTCAAACCGATCATCAATGATAACTACTCTGGTATTGCACACCCCGCCATTGCAGCAAACAATTTTGAACTGAAGCCAGGGCTCATACATATGGTTCAATAGAACCAGTTTGTGGGAAGTTCTACAAAAGATCCAAATGCTCATCTGGGCTCATTTTTGGAGATATGTGATACGATAAAAATGAACGGAGTTACGGAAGATGTGATTAGGCTACGTTTATTTTATTTCTCCCTGAGAGATAAGGCTAAATTGTGGTTCCAATAACTACCATATGGTTCCATCACTACTTGGGATGACCTAGCTCAGAAATTCCTCACCAAGTATTTTCCTCCTTCCAAGTCGGCTCAACTTAGAAGTGAAATTGGTCAATTTAGGTAATTTGATTTTAAACCGTTCTATGAAGATTGGAAAAGGTTTAAAGGCTTGCTCAAATGCTGTCCTCAGCATGGTTATCAGAATTGGATGCAGATTGAGATTTTTTACAATGGGCTAAATGGGCAGACCAAAACTATTGTGGATGCAACTGCATGAGGAACTCTAATGGCTAAAACAGCAGAAGCAACATATGCTTTCAATTTAGGTAATTTGATTTTAAACCGTTCTATGAAGATTGGAAAAGGTTTAAAGGCTTGCTCAAATGCTGTCCTCGGCATGGTTATCAGAATTGGATGCATATTGAGATTTTTTACAATGGGCTAAATGGGCAGACCAAAACTATTGTGGATGCAACTGCATGAGGAACTCTAATGGCTAAAACAGCAGAAGCAGCATATGCTTTGCTGGATGACTTAGCTACAAACTGCTATCAATGGCAAAGTGAGAGATCAATCATGAAGAAGGTAGCAGGTATGTATGAAGTGGATCCCATCATAGCATTGGCATCTCAAGTGTTATCACTTACCAATCAGATAACTACACTCACTACGCAAGGAAATGACCAAAGGGCAAATTCAGTTATGGCCACTTTCTCAGTTTATCCGGAGACAAAAATGGTGAACGAACAGGTTCAATATATCAACAGCGGAAATTTCAATCAGAGGGGCAACTATTCTTCCAATCACTATCATCCAGGGTTGAGAAACCATGAAAATCTTTTATATGGCAACAATAGAAACACACTTCAACCTCCAACGGGGTTCAACAATCAGCATTCTGAAGGGAAACCATCATTAGAAGACATTCTTGGAACTTTCATCTCTAAGACAAGATCACGGTTTAACAAAGATGAGTCGAGGTTGGATAATATCGAAACACATGTGTCCAACACGGGAGCTACAATAAAAACCTTTAGGTTCAAATCGAACAGTTGGTTACATCAGTGAAATCCCAGCAGCAGGGACACAGAAATCAATCCGAAGGAACATTGCAAGGCCATCACATTAAGAAGTGGAAAGGAAGTCGGAGAAAATATGCCTACAGAAGAGACTACTACCACCTTTGACAAGGAGGAAGAACAACCAAATGCAACACAGGAAAATCAGATCAAGGAAGCATGAAAGGATTACAAGCCTTACTCTATATCCTTTCTTGATAACCCACCAATCATCAAGCCCACACTTCCATTTTCACAAAGATTTCAGAAGAAGAAATTGGATGAGCAGTTTGCCAAATTCTTGGATATCTTCAAGAAGATTCGTATTAACATCCCATTCGCTGATGCTCTAGAACAAATGCCAAACTATGCAAAGTTCATGAAAGATGTGATGTCAAAGAAGAGGAAATTGGAAGAATACCAAACAATGAAGTGGACAAAAGAATGCAGTGCAATTCTTCAAAAGAACCCCCCTCAGAAAAGGAAGGATCTAGGTAGCTTCACAATTCCCTACACTACTGGAGACTCCTCTTTTGACAAAGCTCTTTGTGACCTTGGAGCCAGCATAAATCTGATGCCACTCTCAGTATTCAAGAAGTTGGGTCTCGGGGAAGTTAAACAAATAATGGTGACTTTGCAGTTAGCTGATCAATCCCTCACTTACCCATGAGAAATTATTGAAGATATGTTGGTAAAAGTTGATAAATTTATTTTCCCAGCAGATTTTATAGTGTTGGACATGGAAGATGATCAGGAAATTCCACTAATCCTAGGCAGACCTTTCCTAGCAATAGGGAGAGCTTTAATCGATGTCCAAGGAGGTCATTTGACCTTGAGAGTAAATGAAGAAGAGATGAGGTTCAATATCTACCAGGCAATGCAATTTCCAGATGATATAAATACATGCCACAAAATTGACTTCATTGATGCTGTAGTAAAAGAAGAAAATGTATTCATTGATGATCACCTAGAGCATTGTATGATGATGAGTGCAACACGGGATGATGTTACTTCCTCAGGAGAGTATATGGGCAACAAGGACCTAGTTGATTTGATATTAGCTCTTAAATCCTTGCCAAATGAAGATATCCCATCAAAGAATGAAGATATCCAACAGACAATGGAACCGGATGAGAATAAAGGCAATGAGAGCACTAAGATCGAATTGAAGCAGCTACCTGATCGCCTTCGGTATGTATTCTTGGAGGAAAATTCTGCATATCCAGTGATAATTTCTTCCTCACTCACCAAGGACGAAGAAGACAGATTATTAAATGTGCTAAGAGAACACAAGGTAGCTTTAAGATGGTTTATATTTGACATAAAGGGAATAAGTCCGACAATCTACATGCACAAAATTCTCAGGTAGGAATCCTATAAACCATCAATTGAGCACCAAAGGAGATTAAATCCAGCAATGAAAGAAGTGGTGTGAGCAGAGATACTGAAGCTACTAAAGGTCGAAATCATATTTACTATCTCAGACAGTGAATAGGTCAATCCTGTACAAGTGGTACTGAAAAAAGGCGGGATGACAGTAATTAAGAATGACAACAATGAGCTAATCCCAACAAGGACAGTAACTGGCTAAAGAGTGTGTATTGATTATAGAAAGCTGAACAATGCAACCATAAAGGATCACTTTCCACTTTGTTCATTAACCAAATGTTGGACAAATTAGCTGGATACTCCCACTACTGTTTTCTCGATGGTTACTCAGGCTATAACTAGATTGTAACTGCACTAGAAGACCAATAAAAGACAACATTCACTTGCCCATATGGAACTTCTATATATAGATGAACACCTTTTGGGTTATGTAATGCTTCAACAACATTCCAGAGATGCATGATGGCAATCTTTACAAATATGATAGAGGACATCACAGAGGTATTTATGGATGCTTTTTCTGTATTTGGTACTTCTTTTGATAATTGCCTTCACAATTTGTCTCTAGTTTTGCAATGTTGTGAAGAAAAGAATTTAGTTCTTAACTGGGAGAAATGTCACTTGACTTTACCACCCATCAAAAGAAGAAATTTTTCCATGACGTCAAGTCATATTTGTGGGATGATCCACTACTCTTCAAGAGATGTGCAAATAGGACGATCAAAAGTTGTATTCCTATGGAAGAAACATAGTCAATTATGGAGCACTATCATTCCTCACCTTATGGAGGTCATTTCTGTCCTACCCAAACTGCATCCAAGGTATTACAATCGGGATTCTATTGGCCAACTCTCTTCAAAGATTGTTATGCTTTTTGTGAAAACATGTGACCGTTGTCAGCGTATCGAAAATATCTCGAGATATCATGAGTTGCCCATGACTAATGTGCTTGAAGTGGAATTATTTGATGTGTGGGGCATATACTTCATGAGTCCCTTTCCACCATCTTTCAGTCAAGCATACATTTTTCTTGCGGTGGACTATGTGTCCAAATGGGTTGAAGTTATTGCTACTCCAACAAATGATGCAAAGGTAGTTTTGAAGTTTCTGTAGAAAAATATCTTCACTTGATTTGACACTCCTAGAACAATCGTAAGTGATAAAGGAACGCACTTCTGTAATAAACTTTTCAACTCTCTTTTAGCCAAATACAATGTTAGGCAAAAATGGCACTTGGCTACCACTCCCAGACATATGGGCAAGCAGAAATTTCCAACTGAGAGATTAAGCAGATATTGGAGAAAACAGTGAACACAAATCGAAAAGATTGGGTGCAAAAGCTTGATAACGCACTGTGGGCATACCGAACAGCTTTCAAAACACCAATAGGAATGTTTCCTTCCGCCTGGTATTTGGCAAGGCATGTCACCTGCCAGTTGAATTAGAATATCGAGCCTATTGGGTAGTCAAAAATTTGAATCTGGATATGAAATTAGCTGGTACCCAGTGACTCCTACAAATTAATGAAATGGAAGAATTTCGAAATGATGCTCATGAAAACCCAAAGATATACAAGGAACGAACGAAACTATGGCATGACAAGAGAATCCTTGTGAGAGAATTCAAGCCCGAAAAACGGGTCCTTCTATTCAACTCTTGCCTGAAGCTATTTCCAGGAAATTTTAGATCACGGTGGTCAAGGACATTCGTGGTACGCAAGGATTTCCTTACAATGTGGTGGAGTTGGTGAGCAAGGATGGAACATCTTTTCAGGTAAATGGTCAACGCCTCAAACACTATTATGGCGAAGAAGATCAATATATAGAAGAAATTGCTCTCAAAGAATCAGATTAAATCCACATCACGTCCAGCTAATGACGTAAAAGAAGCGTTTCTTGAGAGGCAACCCAAGCTCTACTGCTTAATTTCTTTGCATTAGTTAGACATTTCATTCTTCATAAGCAAAGTTAATAATATCATTTTCTTTTTGTTTTTGTAGGGACATGCTCAAATATTGTCACATCAGCACTACAATCAACATGGAAAGAAGGATAAATTGGAGGTCATAAAAAAAACGTTTTTAAATAATCTTTGCATGAAACATCTCCTCGTAGTCTTTATGACTCGAGTGATCAAGTCTGCAAGGGTTTAAAAACCGGTGCTCTAAAGCCATCTGGTTTGGGAGTCACTGAATTAGCAACTAATTTATTTTCTCATAATTTTTCTTATTAGGTAGCAATTGTGTTTTAGCGATCTTGAAGAGTCTATTGATTTTGGAGCCACGACCACATGATAATTTTAGGTTATTTGTATCGATTGAGTTGAGCGTGTAAAATTATTTTGTGCCCACATTCTTTTAACATAAAATATATATCCTTTTAATTTTTTATCTAGCATATGAATGTTAGCATATTGCAGTCAGCCTTAATGGTGGATTCGACATATAATTGGTATCCATCATTGGCGCATGTCACAACTTGGGTCCACTCGGGTTAGGGACGGAGCCAAACATTCGACATTGTGGGGTTAAAAATTGAAATACAATTTTTTTTTTTAAAACAACATATCATTAATCACTACTACAATTGTAATTTACGTATTTTCATACTCTGAAAACGTCGTATAATTACATCATTATTAATATTGGCAAATACTTCATTCTCAATATATGGAACTAAATTGTCATTAGCCATTGATGTACTGTCAATAAAGAAGAATTATTATAATTTAGCATGAACTTTCACAATTTCACTCCACAATCAAGATGCATCATGCATGTATTTGTAAAGCTTTTGTCGTTTGTCAAAAAGTTAATATCAATATAATTCTCAAAACAGAAAATTTAAAAATGCTCAATTACTTTAAAAAAAAAAAATTATCAGGTAATTTCAACAAATTGCAAATAAAAATTAAAAAACTTCGATTTTTCAAAAACTCATACTCAATAATCAATATTAACGACAAATATATATAAAAACGGTCCAATTTATAAAGTCTAAGAAACTACAGACTACAATTTCGACACTTCGAAACGGGCCACTTACCAGTTCAAAAGTCGTTATCTTGTCAGATTGTCCCGCTAACATACACTTTTAAGAGATGAAATCTTTGATTTGGGTAATGGGTTCCTTAATTTTATATAAATTTTGGATTGAAAATTTGAAAGTTATTAACGTGTTGCCATGTTGGAGAAATGGAGACAGTCGGACAGAGGAATCGCCTTTTGCCCTTTTCTCGTTTGAATGGTGGACCTGTATGTGAAAGGGAAGAATTAAATGTATTGGATTAAATTTAGGTTTAAATGAATGGTGGACTTGGTGGTTTGTTTGGGCCAAATAATTAGAGTTGGGCCATTTACTTATTATGTTAGAATTAGGCATACACAATTTTTTTTTTCTTTGGACACGGGCTGGATTTTTTTGGCTAGACAATGGCTGATTATTCAATTTACATGGGCTCAACTGAAAAAAAAAAAAAAAGGAAACCTTATCCGTCTCTGTTTGAATAAATTTTATATAAAAAAAAAAATCTGAAAATTCTCACTGACCCCATGTGGGTTTGTCCTTGACTCGGGTGATCTGGCATGGGATGTGTCAAAAGCATTACAACTAAAGACTTTTAGAGGAAGAAAGATGAATATTCAAAATTGTGGGTATGTTGTGATGAGACAACCAAAAGTCATGTGAAAGTTCAAGATTCTAGTAGGCATACAGTTTATGAGATATTAGGGAGAGGACCACTTCCCTCCATAGTTACATCAAGTAAAGCCCCCCAGGGCACATCCAAATTGGCGGAACAATCACATTGGGGGGCTCTGGAACCAAGTGTGGGGAGTTCGATTCCTGGTTGGAGCAGCCAAGTGATGTAATAACCAGAGGAAGGGTTGGAGCAGCTTGGTGATGTAATAACCATGGAGGAGGGTCCCTTTGGGGAAGGAGTAAAAGCCATGTGGGAATCTGGGAACCAACAAGGGCACAACCTGCGATTTACCTCCACTAGTCACTGAGGGGCCGGGGGCTAGAGGTCCAGGATTTAGTCCGGCTAAACTGGGACACCTGGGTTATCAAAAAAAAAAAAAAAAAATACATCAAGTAAATGACAATTTTCCTTTTTGGCGATCCCTTTTTCTGTGGAATACCATCACTAGATGAGTGGCGAATAATTCCATCTTTACGTCTAATCCAAGAAATTTATTAAGATATTCTTTGCCACGTCGATTTTAAGAACTTGGAATTTTGTTTGTAATTGATTTTATATCAGTTTATGGAAATTTTTGAAGGT